GTTTAAATCTCCATTCATTCCGTCTGCGCAATCCATCCACTGTACATAGTCTCACACTGCACATACATGCACATTATATGTATTATTATCCTTACACTCAAGTATTGTATGTTACTTATTATTAAATAGCTTATCTTATCTCCTATCTTATATTATTGCTGTTATTGTTATTCTATCAAATACTACTACTAGCGCTGGCACTAGTAGTTGTATTTAGTATTTATACACGGTTTATGGTTTCAATGTATAACTCAGTGAACCACTCATTAAAATTCAGAAGATCCAGATTTTTATTTGGATCTGCCACATATTGCACACACTCATAAATATCAGTCCCCTAAACATGCCTATCTTTTTTTCACCCATGAATGATTAAATGAGACATCAAGGGAATTGTTGTAAAACGCCTTATCTCGCAATGCTAAAGAAAGTGAAAAAAAAAATCCTTTATCCGCTTTCTCAGTTGGATCCACATAAAAATGTTATTGGTTCTGTACCCTGACCCAGGACGCATTGTTTTACCAAGTTTTGTGGTTTTCGGTCGGTAGCTTTTGCATAATCCCCCATACAAACATGCAGGGAAGAAAACATAACCTCCTTGGCAGAGATAATCAAAAATAATAAAGTGAAACATTTTTTAGATATTTTAGACAGATATTTATTTTTATTTTATTGGCTTCAGGATAAAAATGCATACTTGTAGTTGCTTTAAAAGTAAGGATAAAATGCTTGTGTAACTGTAAATAAGAAGAAAGAAACAACAATACCATTAGTTTGACCATCTTGCAAGTGAAATACTGTATACAGAGGAATACTGATAATAGGATTTCACTTGAATTTACACATTTTGGTACATATAAGTCACAGGATATAACTAAAAATCTATTTTTCAATGCAGAATTATGAGGTACCTAAAATTAACAGCAATATTCAAGCAAATCTTCTACAGTACTTTTTTGTCATCACACAGATTAAATACATTCAAGGAACAAACAGTCGGACTGTAATAAAATACTTGAACAGATACAGTACAGTGAGTTGTTTTTTTACTTAGTATGCATGAAAAAATGAAAAAACCACCACCACTGATTATAATCAAAGCTGAGCTGTTAAATTGTGAATCCTTTATTGTAACAGACAACTCCCTGCTAAATAGTTGGAAGACAACTAAATGTACAACCTAAATAACAATGGAGATGTCACAGACCTGACACATAAGCATGCTAGCCTGTGATATGACTGTACTTTACTTGAGAATATGTGCATGTGATTGTGTGGGTGGAGGTTGGATGATGAGGCCACGCCAATTTCCTGCCTTTATTTCCTGGCGACAAGGAGAGTATGGTAGAGAGGTTTTATTATAACGTGCAGATAGAGGGAGCTGTCAATTAGGTATTCGGAAGCACGACGCTGCAGGTCAGCATCCACCAGGAAATCCCCGGCCTCCTCTGTGCTTTGGTGGAAGTTGTAGACGTGACGAACTACCACTTTTCCTTGCTGTTTTGCCATTACAATCACCGTCTTCTGGAAACTCACTCCAGCAAAGTCTGGACTGGAAGTTGCTGGGGTTACAATAATGCGAGGCCGGCCTCCGTCTGTGCGGGTGGGCTGCATGGCGCCCAGCTCAGTGTAGGTTGACCTGGCACTGAGCGGGAGCCAACGAGGGGAGAAGAGGGCGTTCCATGTCACCCTCTTACTGGAGTCATGGCCGCTGGGCCCGAGCTGAGTCTGGAAGCTGAAACTGCGGTCATCACGAGTGGGGTTATTAATGACCCAAGGGGAGCCCCAGGAGGAGGACAGGTAGTTGCGGGGAGTGAAAATGCTGCAGTTGACATCAAAGTACTTTGCCAGCTGGATAGGTGAGGCGGCGTGAAATTGGAATGCCAGGTAGAGGAGATCGCGGATAGACTCGTAATATTTGAGCATGAGGGCTGATTGCCTCTGAAGACGGAAGAGATGCTGGGGTGGGATCATGCCGTATCGAACAGCCTTGAGGGCAACCTCCACTGTCGTACTGACTGGCTGGTTCTGGCTAATCCAGGCCTCCAGGGCTTCGTAAAGCTCCAGCTCACTCTGCAGAATGAGGTCAGAGCGCTGGAGCAAGGAGAGGAGCAGGTCTTCACTGATAGAGCCCCATTCTCCGCTCTGCAGCACGGAAGATAGGTTCCAGGACAGGTACTGCAGGCAGCTGTCCCGCAGGGCCATGTCCCCAATTTGTAGCGCGTAGTTGTACCAACCAATCACATGACCTGTGGGGGAGTCGCTAGAGAGATGCTGGGTCATATATTGGGTCAGACCCTGCTGCAAGCCCCACACATGATACTTGCTGGCCAGCTTATGCAGAGAGATGGCCTGATCTAGCCGCAATGAGATGTCACCGCAGTACAGATACCTGCAAAAGAGAAACAACCTGCAATAGTCATTTTAAAATGAAAAACTGATTAAAAAAAAGCTAACAATTTTTCTGTGAGGCTCACTGCATTGAGAAGCTATGTGCTCTGAGTCACTGAAAAAACCCACACTGTCCGATATTTGACTGAGCCTCAAACAGCAGGTGTAATTTTAGAATAATCCACAGAATGGAGCATCCCACTTCTTCAAAAAGAAAGAAGAAAATGGTGGTTAAAGACCTATAACTTGGTTACTTTGGCAAATCCAAAGGCACCTGCAGACAAATAGTTTAGTTCAACCAAACCTCATTAGCCGTAAGCAAATTGTTCCACTGTGAGTCACCCTCACCTGATGAACTTGTCAAAGACAGCCGCACAGTCGGGCGTCTCCCTCAAAACCACAGCGCTGTTGTTGCGGCTGAGCAGCAGATCCTCAAACACGTCACTCTGCAGGGTGAGTAGCAGGCTGTGGGCCTGGATCACCTTCACCTCGTCCGTGTTGATGGTCTGCACGCGGAGGGTGACATCACTGCCGTTCCCCATGGCCAGCAGCGTCTCCATGCGCTGCACCAAACCCATGGAGTTGTTCAGCACCGTGGTGCCGCTGTCCAATGCTGCCTCCTGCTTCAGAGCAGCTGTGGACAGAGCAAGATGGTGGACAATAACAACACATGACTCTATAATCACTGTCAAGATGCAAAGGACATCTCTCTTGTTCTCTGGCAATTTGCCAGAGAATCAGCTATTTCATAAGATTATCTTTATTCACTTCTTCAATCAGACAGTATACACGGGAAAGGGAGCATAAAGCCAGGTGGCTGATTCAGAAAACCTCCGACAGCAGGTGCCCGGGAAAATGATCTTGAGTTTGCAGCACCATTGTAGATGGCTGCTGCTTCTATGGGCACTCTCCAGCTTAAGTACAAGTGGCACTTACTGGAGAATCTAAACATGAAAGACACAGCATGACATGCTGCTTTTTCCATTCCGCGCTGCCACAGCCATCAGCAGCTTTGCTGGTCTGTTACTGGAGGTTTAATGAGACACAGGGGTAGTGCACTCGGCTCCCCGGGATGCCTCACAGTCTTCATTTCTCCACCACAATCAAGTGCCCCAACTTCAAAGTCACCTTTTTCCAATTAGCCAGCCGGCACCCTGAGTCAGGTGAGCAGTACTGAGCTAGTGGTGGTGCATATGGATAAATTATTGTGGCAATCTGAGGCCAATTGAAAATCATCAAATTAATTATAATTGGAAAGGAACACAAAATTTTGCGAAACTGTCTTTTTCTGATTCTTAAAAAAAACAAAACAAGGTAGATTTGATTTAATCAACACAAAAAAACTATGAAAACAATGAATAAAGAATGATTCTGTGTGTCTTCCACTCAAGCTGTGAAGAAATGAAAACATTAAATGCAACATTTAATACACAGTTTCCCAAATATCTTGGATATGAGTCTGTGCTCAAAAGGAATTTCAAATGAAATCTAATCTGACAGCAAAGGAATGTGGCCTTCAAGCTTTGGTCGAAATCAGTCAAAGTCAGATCTTCTTAGGAGTAAGAAAAGCTTCCCCTCAGTGTTTGTAGTGCACCGTATCACTGAGCCGGCACTAAGCCAGGAAGCAAATGCACTCGCCTGTCTTTCCCTGCACCCAGCAGACAGATAGATGAGGACAGGATAAGTAGAATAGATGAATATCCATCCCCTACCCCGAGGCTGAGTGAGAGCCACGCATTCATGCTGTGCCCTACTACCCACTGACAGTATGGGGGAAGCTGGACTGAAATAGAACAATGCAGCTTCTACTTACAATGTAGGATATTAACAAAAAGATATAAATGAAAGTGGGTTGACTCTTGAAAAGCAAAAGATTCAAACCAGTCATGCTGTTTGTAATCTTACCTCCTGTAACTGTGATTGAGTGGAAGTTGATGAAGAAGAACAGGGTGCCCACATAGACCCAGGCAGGGATCTCTTGTTCACATGAGCGCACCATATCTTCTCAGCTATTCCTCTTCCTTTCTCAGTGCCACTCTCTACTGACCTGTCCTCTTGCTGCTGTGCCTTGGCCGTGTGAGTGCAGAAAGGTGCGTTGCCCCTCTTGTGCCGCCTGGCTCCCTGTCCCGCACTCTTTATGTAGGACGCTGGCCTTTCCCTGGCGCATCTCGCAACCCCACAGACTCCATTGATTGGTGGAATCTGGCAGGGGCGTTGCTATAGCGACAGCTTTGATTTTGAATTTCTCCCCTTTTGGAGGATACATGGCATTGATCAGCATTTTTTTTAAATTCTATTTTGCATTAGTTTAAAAGTCAGATGGGGGGGGGCACTATCAACAATCAATATTAACACTGTTTCGATGAAATTCAAAATGCAACACTTCTCTGAACAGCAACATTTTGTTTATGATAGCTATGCCAAGTACAATCAGTGACATTTAATTAATCTATTAATTAGAGCTTAATCAGAGGAGGCTGCCACTGAGACTATCTGCCAAAAGTAATTGAAGTGCTGATATGTATGACCTATACTGCATTCAATCAAGTTTCATGATCCAGTTTTTCATCTGACAGTAATTATTTCTCATCATCTTATTTCTCTGCATCTTAATCAAAGTAATGGGAGGATAATTTCATTGATGCTGGGTCTACTCAATTTAGGACGAGCTCTGTTTATCAAATTCAACTTCCAATTAGGATTCTATATTTTCATGTTGTTTACTGAGATTTAAACAAATGTAAATTTAGTTTGTGATTTTTTTTTTTATTTAGCATGCAAAACTATTTTCAGATGCCATGAAAGAGCAGTTGTGTGACTACAAACCTCACACATTGCAAAAGGTTGTGCAATATAAACAATTTCCTGCTGGATATGCATGGAGCTGATGTTGCTGTTGGCAGCAAACATGCTAACCTCAGAGCTATGATAATCAATATGAAATGCTGTAATGACTCAAAGTGAGCCCAAGGGCCATGTGACATGAGAGAGTCATGCATCCTAGAATAACATGCACTAATACAACTGCAGTGAAATGGCAGTCAGAAAGAGGGGTCAGTCAATACTGAGATCCCTGTTAAACCTCTAAGATATGGATCTGATATTAAAAAAAAAAGAATATTCAATGCATCCGACCGAGCCATTAGTCAAGTTGCAATAGTTATACTAACACACTGCATTGTGATGAAGGTGTTCACAGTAAAAGAGCTCCAATTCTATACGATGCTCACTGTGGGACGGACATAAAGACACATCATTTCAGAGGGAATCGGGTTGTGGTGAAGCCCTGAGGGTGCTGCAGTGGAAATGTAGGCGAGGAGACGTCCTGCGAGACCCAAACCTGAGCCACTGCTATGAATAACCTGACAGGTTCGCAGAGGAGAGCGGTGCTGAGCTGCCCTAATGAAGCATGCTGCAACAAACTGGACTAGACGATATGGACAAGGCTTCGTGGAACTCCTGTCTTCTGAAACTGACTACAGATGCATGAATATAAAATACATGAATGTAATATTAGTGCAATCAATATGTATGAATGCAAACAGGCAGTGTACCTGGATACTAAAATAGGATTCTGGCAACAGTTGTTTAACTACAGAATTAGACCCAGAGCCCATTTAATTATGTGTGCATTTGAAAATGAGTGTGTCCTTCATTAAGGTCACATTGCTTTCTCCTTTGAGTTCAGCTCCTATTAAGAATGTGCTAACAGGACCACAGTGCAGAGGAATGGATTGATGAGATGCTGGATTTGTGAGAGGACCCCCTCGGGACAAGATCTATCAGGGGATCGATGCACCACAGGGGGCTCCATCCAGAGAATAAACAGTGCGTTTAGTGCAGGCTGCATGCCAGAGTTTGCTTCAACAAGGTGCCCTGGATGACCTTACTGTTGTGCTGGACCCAGCGGGAATGAACCAGATAATCAGGTTTCCAAAACACGGCAAATGTGCTGAAAGCATGTACATGTGTAAAAGGATTATGTGCAAGAATGGATGAAATTAAAAAAACAAACAGAAAAGTGATAAATTGTAGTATTCCAAGAAACACAATGGAATACATAGAGAAATTATTATGTCAAAAATGTAATCCAGCAATTGTATTGGGTGATCGTTCAGTATTCTCTAGCAAAGTTTTTCTCTACTTATGATCTACAATTTTAGAACTTAATGGACTAAGTAAGTGTTTAATGAGTTTTGTGATTCTTGGCAAAAGAAAGAACATTGGTTCAAAGACAAAATTCTGCTCCTACTATGTATTTTACGATGGGAAATGTCACAATTCATCATGTGTTCAATTTTACATTTTGACTTTCAATCGCAACAATGGAACCAGTATTTCAGCAAATTTCACATGTATAAAAACATTTGACCGCCGAGAGCGTAACTTTCTTCTAAAAGCTTAAAATCAATGGTGTCGGTCAATGCTCTCATTTATCAAATGGTTGTTGAGTGGCGTGGCTGAACGACAGATCAATCGCAAGATCTATTTTGTTGTGTAATGTAATTTGATTGTGATTCTCTGAAAAACAAAGGAGTCATCCAATGACAAACAAAATCCAGCAGGTGGCGCTACAAACTGGATGATGACTGCTCAGAGGTACTTCTACAGAGGAGGAAAAAAACAGGAATATATGTCATGTAAAAAGGTATAAATGTGATTATTAACACTTTAGACATTAGAGTTTGATCATTCTTAAATATGGAGGGCACTTTGCTCCAGGAAACAACAATGGTCCAAACTCAGAAAAAGACTAATCAACAAACTGATCAAATCAGTGAAAGCCATTAATCAGCACTCATCAGTGAGTGTGGAATCAAAGTCTCTGCGTGTGAACGAGGGGTCACAGCTCAGAACATGTGGCACAGCCTGTGTGTGCGAGTGGAAATGTCACAGGAGAGGTGAGTGGTGCCTTTGTCAGGATGTAAACCGCCTGAAACAAATAAGTAGGCTGGCTGCTAATCTCGCAGAATATGCAAAGCTGCAAACACCGGAGGGGCTAGAGAAAGAGACACGGTTGGAGCTGAAACGCTGCAGGAACGAATGCATCTGTAGAATAACTCTCATAATTATAATAATAATAATAATAATAAAACGACCTGCTCAGCGCTACTACTTTACAACATGGTTCAATAACACTGGAGACGGAAGGAGTGGGCGGATGGAGCACTGTGCATGAGTGAAAGTGGGAAAAGAAAAGTCGTGGATCAATGAAGTGGGTTGTTTAACTTCTCTGATTCTTCCAAACACGCACGAAAAAGCATCCGATTCGGGAACAAGGCAAGTGTGATCACAGAGGTGGGATATCCTCACCGGAGCTCACCCACCTGTTGGACCTGCTATCATCCGTCCAGGTAAGAAATTCCAAACGAGGAATCACCATAGATTTGAATTATTGTTGTGATACTCATGTAAATATATTCGATTTTTTCTTTTTATTCAATGGTGTGTTTTTGTTTTAGGAGCTAAGGGAACTGTTGTAACTAGTCAATAAGTAATAAATAAATCAGATAGATTATCAATGGTTTGTTTAATTTAAGAAGTAGAGGCATTTTCTTATAACTTAAAAATGATCATTTAAGGATTTACTCAAAACTTTATATTCTTTATTTAACAGTCAATCAATAACACACTATTTATATAGTACTTTTCATACAAACAAAATGTAAATGCTTAAGATATCACAATCCCCCACCCCTAAGTATTTAGAAATAATAATAATAAAGAAGACCATCTAAGGAATTGCTGTCTCACCAATTTGCAATGAGCAAATATCAGAGACAGATTTAATAAAGATTGAAATTAAAAATAGCAAAATAAAAAGAAATAATGGAAATGGATAGAAAAATACATGACAAGAGGATAAAATATGACAATCCAAAGAATAGATGTATTAGTATGTAGAACAAGCTAGTGTAAGAGGTATAGAGATATTGTAAAAATTAAATTTAAAGTGATCTAACAATAAATTAAACAGATTAAATATAAATTAATTGACAAATACATAAATGAGAACTCATTGAAAGTCTGACAAGAAGGTTAGGTTAGGTTTTTTAAATGACTGACAATGGGAAATTAATGGGATGAAAATGTAATTCGTAATCTTGAACTATTTGGTCACTGACTACCAATCTGCTGGAGTATGGACAAAGGGAGGACAATACTCACTATGTCTTAAAGTAAAATGTTAAAACAGTGCCTCTAAAACTTTAATGGTTCAGCATAGATAAACTGTCAGATCTGATAATGTTGCCTGTAATTGTTGGATTCTTCAGTAACTCTGATGAATTTAAAGTTGGCATTATAAGCCACCGACTACAGTTTACATTGTGAAACTCCCCCAGGCCCAGTATGGATCACTCTGTCCCTTCGCTATGTTATGGCAAAGTCATAACCTGCTTCAGCCATCTTACCTCTTCAAATGCATGCAAAGTCTGGAGTATCTTATTTTAATAATGAGGGATGCAAATAATACAATTTGCATTGATCATTTTTAAATAATAAATGTGTTTTGTCGCAGGTTTTTCAAATAGATAAAGGAAATATAAATCTGCAGTGAAGCCATGGACCCAACCAGTGCTCCAAAGGGATGTGGCTCCAGCATCAGCTCCATATATTACAACCTGTGTGACCTGACTAAAGTGTGGGGGGTCGTGGTGGAGGCCGTTGCTGCTGCTGGCGTGGTGACCTCCTTTGTCCTGTTCATCATCCTCATGGCCAGCCTACCGTTTGTGACGGACAAGAAGAGAAAGGGTACAGTGGCCCTGCAGGCTGGCATTCTAATCTTTACTCTGGGACTCTTTGGACTCACGTTCGCCTTCATCGTGGGCCGGTACTCCACCAGCTGTGCTGCACGCAGGTTCCTGTTCGGAGTACTGTTCTCAGGTTGTCTAGCCTGCCTGGTGATGCATGGGCTGTGGCTCGCCCTGCTGGAGCGGAGAGGCCGGGGTCCCAGGGGCTGGATGCTGTGCCTGGGAGCCCTGGGTCTGTGGTTGGTTGAAGTGATCATCAACACTGAGTGGCTCGTCATCACTTTGGTCTGGAGGCCACAGGGCAGCGTCACTGTCCCTGACCTGTCCTGCAGCATTGCTAACCAAGACTTTGTGATGGCACTCATCTATGTTATGGTACTGCTGCTAGCTGTGGTGCTGATGGCTATACCCTCACTGACACACAAGCACAAGCAGTGGCGCAGAGATGGAGCCTTCATCCTGGTCACAGGGCTCCTAACTGTGGCTATCTGGGTAGCTTGGATTGTCATGTACATCCATGGGAACAGAGTGGCCGGGAATCCCACTTGGGACGATCCCACTCTGGCTGTAGCTGTGGTGTCAAACGCCTGGGTGTTCCTCTTCCTCTACACTATCCCAGAAGTCTGCTTACTGACCCAGGAAGACCCAGACAAGGAAGAGCCCCATGATGGGGAACATATCTTTCCCACCAGGAGCCTGGTTTGTGACAACATCCTTAAGGAGATGGAGACGCCTCATCAGAACGTGTACCTGGAGAACAAAGCTTTCACAATGGACGAGCCTCCAACAGGTACAACATGGGAGTAATAATGTACTATTACTCAACGTATATATGACATATTTAAAAAAAAAGAGGTAAGCTTAACTACATTTAAAATACAGGCCTCAAAGTACAACCTCAATGCCTCAAAGTTCACCTGAGATGACTGCACAAATTTACACTTGATTTCAAATTAAGGTTAACTTCATGAACACAGTTATGAAAAAGCCTTCAAACACCACAGCTTTCTCAGTTTTGACCTGAGTTGTGTGTAACACGGCTCCGCATAGTGAAGAATTGCCTGAGCATGTAAGAGTAGGAGGAGCCATGTTACCAGTAATGGCGGGTGCAGTCACCGACCTCAAATTTTTTGCAACCTTGCACTAAAAAGTAGAAAGTGCTTCTGACTTGGCAGAAGGATTATTCGTGGAAATAGTTGTTCACAGTGTAATAGACACAGCACGAATTTAACGGAAGATTAAATTCTGCAATTCACCTCAGCCCAACCTGCGTGTCTTCCATCGATACTTACCAGGGGTGTGGTCAGTTTTGTTGTGCACTGAATAGATGGGTGGTGAAACCTCAGAAGCAAAATTCAAAGTATTCCAGCAGGAAAGGAAAAGCAGGAATTAGGCTAAATGACATAATGCAGTGCAGCAATGACGCTAATGGGAGGTTCTTTAAATCTCACAGCACTGGCAGTAACTAGGTACATCTGCTGCTCCCTCTTGTGCCAGAGGATCAGCTTGTGAAATACTTGGCAAACGGCTCTTTCTGACAAAGAGCACAGAGGAGAACGTTGCTGATTGTTTGTTTGTAGAAACAAAGATTATGTCAACAAAAGTAAATAATGAAATACATAAGAATAACAACTTGAACCATGTCAAATTGCTCATATCCCCTCACACAAACAGCTTGGAAGATGCTGCCAATAACTCAATGAGAATGGCTGATTTTATTTTGCCAAAATAGAGGATTATCTTGAATTCAGATTTTGAAATGTTGTTAAATAGAGGGGCATAACATATCTAATCTACAGTATTGTACATTTGTTGGGTGGAAATGATCAGCCACATGGCAATAATCAAAGAGGAAATTAAGAATAATACTAAACTGAAAAGCAAATCTAAAAGTCGAAGTAAGTCCACAAATATTAAAAGATTAAGTTGCAAGTTTGGACAGTTTTCTTCCTGTTCCAGATCTTCTTACTGAAGGTTGTGTCCTCGTCCCATATCACGAAGTGATATCATAGCAGTCATTAAATTACATGTTTTAAAAACGTAATTTATTTATTTGAAAGTAGCATTTGATTGGAACATGACTGACACGAATGCATTGAGAACAAAGTTGACACAAGTACGGTTATCTACTATGATTTAACTAAATAAGCCTGATGATGACAAGAAATATTTGGTTGACTGGTTGGTCTAAAAACCATAAGGTAAATGCAGAGTCTGACAAACATAGTCAGATATGTAAAATAAGAATGCTGTAGTGCAGTCTTCTTTCAAAGAATCACATACCTAGCTTGTGCATGGTTGTCTTATATATGCTGCAAATACTGATTCACATAACTGGTCAGGTTCTCTTTATCTTCCAAGTGTAATTTCTGTTTTACAATTTATGACGATGAAGTCCAACCTGAGACAAAAAGAAGTATCACAGTGAACTGAACAAAGATCATTGTCCTCTTCCACCTTCTCTTTACCAGTGCCCACAAAGCCAGTGTCTCCGTATGGGGTTTACAATGGTCAGTTGCGAAGCTGTGTGTACCAGCCCACTGAAATAGCCCTGATAGCCAAGGGTCTGACAAAGGTGAGTGAGTTCACGATACTTTACACCACAAAAAAAAAATCCTCCCAGCATCACACCTGAACTAATCCTTCCTCTCTCTGGGTGTTTCTATAGAGGGACCAAGACGCTATGATGTCTCGAGCCACATCCCCCTCTTTGAATTCAGGAGGCGGCAGCAGCTCCCCACCTCTTTCAGCAAATTCCTTACCATCCTAGGGAGTGTCACACAGGAAGACTGTAGAGAGCACATTGCACATTCAGTTGTTGAAGCGATGAAATTAATGCCTACCAGAGGTTTTTTTTAAGCGTAAGAGTTCCTAATAGAAAATGTAATGCTTCGTCCCTTTCTCTTCCTCAGGAAGATGCTTGAATTTCACAATATGAGCCTCTCTCACACGCTTCCTCCTCATTTTATAATTTATTTCCTCTGTTTGTGCACTGATAGATTAGGCAGAGTTTGATAAATAAAAGATTACAATTACTGAAGAGGGGCGGCTCGTTTAGGCCAATATGTATTCGTAGCCAATCTGAAGATTTGAATTGATTTTGGAATGTACTGTATGCGTCTCTCTACGAGCTACAGACATAAATCTTAGGTGACAACTGATCAGCTGTTTTAGTCAGAGTCGTTCACAGCAGGAACATTTCTGGAAGATTCATACGAGGGGTGATCCCTGGGTAGCGGAGGCAGGACATGGTGTATTAATTCCCCTGCGGATAGCATAAAGACACCGACCTTTATCATCAAAAGCTCTTTAAATAATGTTGCCTTTCCAAGTTGACATTTTTGTTGGTGTTTTCTGAGTGCATTGCACAAAGTCTTTCTCATCCTGAGATATTTGTATTCTTTTTGTTTAACTTTTGTGTCTGTCACATGTTCATCATCGACATGTCCATTCCCTCATCGTGAGTCTTCCAGTAATTATTCTGCAATATTCTCACATTGGCTCACTCGAAACTTTTCCGGACTTAAGAGTGTGAAAGCAGCTTATTTTAGTCATGGAAAAACAAAAGACAAGGATCAAGTCCAAGGAAAATAAAACAAGTGGCTATAGCCTTAGTTGTGTGCACTGTAAAGCCAATGTCTTTGTCTTTTCTATTTGCAATTACATTATAACCAATATGATGTTTTGTGCCGGCACAATCTGTTGATTCAAACTTGTCTCTTGTTTGGCTGACTTGTCAAATAATGTCATTCAGACTTCCTTTGAAAGCCGTATGATTTTGTAGCGTCTTGGATTTATAACAAAACAAAACAAAACAAAATGTATGTAAAAGGTGTAAATTGTAACTTATTAAACCTGTAAAGCTTCCTAAAGGCTGCTGGATCATTGGCTTTAACCAGGCAACAACAGGAGGAGGCAGCCAGAGAGGTATCACAGTGACTGAAAGAGGAAGTGTGACATTATTTACATATTTTAGCTTGATGAGCTTGACGGCAATCACTTTGTGGAGAAGGGTTTTTCATTACTGAACAAGGCGAAAACATGGCATGGGAAAGTAAAACACAAATCCATGTAATTCTCCTCACAAGTTTGAATTTAGGACTGCGATATTTTTAGCCGAGTCGATGCATTAATGATTTGAGTTTGGAGCATAATAATGAGATTTGATGGAGCATGTGACAGCTGTCTGACAGCAGCAGCAATAAAATGCTGCCAGGAGCTTTCACAACATGCATGTTAGTTACATAAGAATCAGAGTGGACATTAAATAATTATGAATAATGGCACAATTCACACACACTCATCCATATACAGACTAAATGTGGTTTATTTACTGAGACTGTTTTAAAAGGCAACTGTGGATGGAAAACATGGTTAAATTAGTTTTAGAAAACAAAATGGATAACTACTTCTACTTTGCATTGTGAATAGTTCTTCCTGTTCACTACATAGAGAGGAACATTTGATCACATTTAATTACACACACACGCACGCACACTTTCAATGTGAGCTGCGGCTGCCTAGCAGCAGGCTGACTAAGCTCTCTCCCAATGACTCCCTCCATCCTGTGCTGTCAGCAGCCACAGGTAATTTCTCACAAACTAGAAATCAGTCAGATCACAAACTTACAACAGCTCCCTCTGATCTCCAGTGCACATGAGAAATAAAAACTTGTGAATAGAGCAGCAGAAAAAAACCCTTCATGCAGATAAGCAGTGCAGCTTGTCAACAAGAAAAATGTATCCAAAGGTAAACAAAACAGAGACGTTTGAGACGATATTTTCTTAGAATTTCTAACAACATTAACGCTTTGCTAAGTAGTTACTGTAACTTTTTACTAAGTCCAACTCTGCAGAAAAGGGGATCTGCAAATACAGTAAACCTCGCCAATGCGTTTATTTACAGTCTATTAGACTTTAATTCCAGATCAGTGATTTGTGCTTAACTCACACAAACAGCACCTTTCTCTGGCAGGCAGCTGCTGTAAATCCCCTGACATTATGAAAGGCTGTCTTGTGCACATGGACACGGCTGGTTTCATGACCAGTGAGTGGTGGTTGGGCTCAGCTCAAGGGAGTCAGCACTACCAATCTCAGGCAGCTGTCCCCACTTACTGCATTTCCTTGTCACTGTGACAACCCTCAGAGGACAAACACAGACAGAGAAAAAAAAAACATGCTGGTCAAGCTGAACAAACCGAAAACACTGAACCCACAGACCAGACCACAGCTTTATTATTATTATTCATCAGGTGATATTATTCAGTAGATAACTATTGCAAAAATATTAACATCAAGATCTGAATTTGCATTGTTCTCCCCTAAGGCCAATAATGAAACAATGTCCTTTTTCACGAGGGTTAAACGAGGTTCATAGATGGTTCTTGCAAAAACAGCAGGCAAGACGAGGCAAATTAATTTGTATATAGAACCTCTGAACAACTGGGTAATACAAAGTGCTCTGACGAAGCAGAGAAAACACATCGGATGTTATTCAAAGATCTACAGGTCATATAACTGAAAGCTACAGTATAAATACTAATTGGACCTGATAGTTGGATTCTTTTCTGAGATGTTTACTATCGGGGCTAACTTTGAGTTACAATGCGGTTCAGATGAAAAACGCTGAAATGGCTGCTATTAAAGAGACATCATGGTGAGTCTGGTTTGTTAAATTTTATTATTTGCATTTATTTATAAAATTGTGCTAAGTTTCCACTCTAAAATATGGTAAAAGTCAAGCACTGGTAGTACTGTATGGCATGGGGTACAAACAAAAATACATTTATGAATTTCCCTCCTTGCAACCTGTAAGAAACCAGCTGAAACCATGCAAGACTGCCATCTAGTGGAACTACAGAAACAATCAGAAGTTTATAATTTCCTTGAGATAACATTGTTTTTATTGTTCATCACACATGATGCCACAGCGGTTATCTATAGATTGACATATGACAACAGATTTACCAGGATGGGAAATGAACAAAATACACCTATCTGCATTTATTTAATAGTTGGGTGATCAGTTACACTAATCATAGCATCCAGTTCTCCATGGAACTAAATATGAGGCAGGTGATTGAGGTGCAACTTACCTCAACCTGTCGCCTGTGGATGCTTCTTTCCCTGACAGATAGCTGAAGTGTGGTAAGCCATCTTTCTGACACAAACAGTCTGCTGATGGTTATCCGTCTCAGTATCTGAACATTAATGTTCACTGTGGCCATTCGCACTTTCTGTAGTTAAGGAGATTTGTTGCTTGAATTGAGTGACATGAGACATCACTCAAAGTCTTTGATATTTTTCAGGCTGGCAGCTCTGGCCTCCTGCTGCTGCTGCTTCTGTTTCTTCAGTTGACGGTAGGCCTCCACTGCTCGCTCCCTCTCCTCCTCCATGATTCTCTGTCTGGCCATAGAGGGCTTAGCTGTGGAGATCACAGCGTTCCCCAGGAGAGAGTTAAGGAGCAGTCCCCTCGAAGCATTCTAGACAATGGAGGCAGAGGAAAAAACTGTTAACCACTTAATCAAGCATTAAGATCAATAACGTGATAAATCCACAGAGCTGTTACCTGAGATTTGACTGGAGCTTTCTTGGGTTTGGCGCTCAGACACGGTGGAGCCATTGTAACTTCTCCAAAGGGAACATGATCTGAAATACAAAAACTATCATTTAATTACACAAAGAACTTCTTTCAGCTTCAAGTTTAGCGGAATTAATTAATTTTTTTTGGCCACTTAGGGGCTATGCAACATGTTGCAATATTAACATGATTATAAACTGGTTATGATTAATTGTTTTGAAAATAACTGCCCAGACATATATCCGTCAAACACACAGATATCAAATATCAAACACAGAGCAACATCAGCAGTTTGGAGCTGTCTTTGTGTCCATCTAACAAATCCAACTCTGTTGTCTGCCTGTGGTGTCTGTGACCTTAGCTAGTAAATTCTCCTCTATGTTCACCAAGTCCTGAACTGCGTCTGCCTGCTGTTGGGTGCTGTGCATGTGGTGTACACTTGGTCTGTAAGAGTGTTTTAATGATAACAACTGTTGGCAGTAGCTGATTTGTGGGCCACAAAACTGAAATTATGATCCAAAACAGACAATAAAAAGCTTAGCAGAGCTGAGGGGGACTGGTGGGTAATTATCTATTGGCTCATCACTCCACCCAAAGTCATACGATCTTCTGTTTATGTAAAATACTGCCGCTTGAATTAAACTTGTGCAAGAAATGATCAGCCAATTACTTCAGGGCCATTCAATAAAGATAAACATGAATCACAAGCTACACCACAGTAAAACGTCTTTTGTCACCAAAATTAAGTAAAACGAGACATAGATTATTATATTCTCATTATCCACAGAATACAGCCTTCTGCCACTGCTAGTGTAAAAAGCACAGAAATTCAATTGAATTAAAAGCTTGAAGGATATAAATTCAGTAGGTCTCTTGGATTTTGAGGTGACAGTCAGCTACGATGCCAAACGCAATGAAACTGCAGAAATGGTAAATTCTCCTAATAATCTTGAAGGTCGTCAATATATATTTTTGTGCTAAATTACAGAGGAAAGAACAACTATATCTCATGTTCTTTATTGTGCTAATGGCTAAAAAAAAAACTGGCTTTCGTAACCTACCTACAAACATCTCTTTCTCCATCTCGGCCACTTGTCTGTTCAACTTTTTCTGCTGTAGCCTTTGTAATCTCCCTTTATCATACCTGTGGAAAGAAAGGCAAGGAATAAATAAATCAGACATGTATCACCCAATGCATTATAATACAATTCTGTCTTTAAGAGTGGATATTTCAATGCATGCTGGCTTTTACCATTTTATTTATAATGCGGAGCACAGATAATTGGCAAAGTAATCAGCACTTGACACTTTTTAAGAAATAAAGGCAAACGTTTGCCCGTTACTGTTCCTCCACACTGAGGATCTGTTGCTCTTTGGTGAGAAAACAAGAAATATGTGGATATGATTAAATGATAGTGAATATTTGATTGTATTTGAGTCATTCCATGTCAAATCATTAGATAATTTATTCTTAAAAATATTTTCACCAATTCTGCTGTAGATAATCTGAACTGGGAGGTGAAACCCCTTCCCAATCCCCATGAGACTGTAATGAAATACTGTGTTCTGATTTGGTCGAATGAGAAGCCTAAAGAGGGCAAATTTCATGTGTCTCCGATCTCAATACAGGGAAACTTTTTGTCTGACCAAACAACATTAACTATTAGAAACAGCTGCTTTACTCACTCCTTCTTTTTCTCAGACTTGCCATTGTCTGTAGGCCTCTCCTGTTTGTCTGCATCCAGCTCGGGCTTTCTGTCTACCTGGTTCTTGGTGAGGAAGAGGACGTGTTTTGTCTCAGCTTCCATGCGTTGCAAGTACCGCTTCACGCTCTCGTTCTTTCCCCTCTTGAAGTGTGGGACAGGTATGTCTCCATCCTGGGACTTCTCTGGCTTACTTTTGGGGAAGATGGCTGTAAGACAAAAAAATAAGTCCATTATTTACAAAACAAAGTCACGACTGACGAGCATGTGCAATTTATCTTAACTCACCATCTTTTAGCTTTTTGGGTTTCAATGGTCCACTTTTCATCCTCTCCTTGCTCTTCATTATCTCTCGGAGCCTGAAGGGGATGTGTTCGAGGTGGTCCTCTTCTTTGGCTTTCTTGAGTTTGCCATCTCGCTTGAGCTTCTTATCGCTGGTAATTAGACAAATTACAGTCTGGATTACAACTTCAGACAGAAAACCAAGCATGACATCCAACGGTGAACACATGCAACGCTCTTCTCAAGTGGATGCCCCGGTGATTTGAGTTTGCTGCATAACAATGACATTTGTAGAGCATGTGACCGACACTTCATTCTGACAGCAGCAGCAATACAATACTCTTCACAACATCCATGTTGGAGAATCAGAGTGGGTGGTAAATCATCACAGTATGAGCACAATCACACACTCACACAATCACTCTCACTCACTCACTCACTCACTCACTCACACTCACACACACACACACACACACACACACACACACACACACACTCTGAGAGGATGAATGTGATCTTGGTTAAATTAGCTTTAGACAAACAAACATGGACAACTAGTGTAACTTGAGTTTCTTATCTCTGATCTTTAGACACAGTCCAGATAACAATGACAGATTTAAAAACACGTAAGCTTGTGAGTGTTGTGTATTACAGGCCCTTGTCCTGCCTTAAACCCAGGAATGAGTTGATCTTGTTCACTCCCCGCTACCTCAGAGAGCTAACAACAGCTAGCCACTGTAGCTAGCTCAATCCCTACACGTAAGCTAGCTGCCGTGGCTAAGCTGCTAGCAGTCGCTCCGCTCAAACCGTAGCTTCGTTACCTCGGCGGTTCTGCTGACAAGCGGCTTCTGTTCCTCTTGTTCTTCGCCATGTTTGCTGTGTTATATCTCAGTGCACGACAACAGCGCACGTTGAGCGAGCAGCGTGCACGACCTCTGACCCGTGAACTCTCACCCCCCCCCGGGCGCCGGGGAGCGGCGAAGAGACGAGGCCTCACTCTGTCGCTGTTCTCGGGGGAACTTCCGTCTGCACATTCGATAGGCTGCTTGACGACATGGTGCGTCTCCTTTGTTGGTTCAACGCTTCCATCAGCTGCTCTGTGGAGTTGTGTCTGTGTTGAATGAAATGCAAAAACAATTGGAGATGAATCAGCGCAGGTTCCTGAAAGGTTTGACTGATTCTGTCTCAGGGTGATGCACAGACAATAGACGATCTTTACCGAGAAGGACACTCTGATTGGCTGAAGTAACTACTGCTGCGTCCGTGTACCACCACGTGGGGGCAGTGTAGTTGACTCAGTCTTTGTTTTTATTGTGACTGCTTCAAACGGACTTATTCTGATTTCTGTTTTACACATTGGATCAACACATTATGTCTTTCTGTAATCTTTCAGATGTTTTCTAACCACACCAGAGGAAGGAATGGAGATATCATACTCAGAGGAGACATGCCACAGCTTTCAGTGCTCTGTCTGCAAAGAATGAAAAAAATCGGCCTGAATTTGAAGATCTGGGACAAGTCGCTTGAAGCTTCATGCATGTCAAGCTCACCATTACCAATATTAAGAAAAAATTATGCAAAAGGTCAAAAGGTCAGGAAGCTGTATAAGAAAATGTACATTATTCATAAAAAT